GGGGGGGGGGGCGGCAGCAGATATCCTCTTGCCAAGCCTTCATCCTTTTCAAATGATTCTGAAACCGATGAAAAAGGGGGAAAGATGGTGGGCCGCCAGGCTATCTTCTACGCTCTTTGATACCCTCCACCGATCCAATAAGAATCAGGCGGGGGGAGTGCCACGGAAGATCAGAGGCCAGGTCGAACGAGCGTTATTATGGGAATTTTTATCGGTTGGCGAAACCGAGCGTTTCGGATCGGGTAATTTCTCCGCCCGTGCCACGAGAGAGACCATCCCCTAACTCCCGTTTGTCGTTCCGACGCGATACAATGGCTATCGACCAACCCTTCGGACAACCAAAACGGCGGAGCAGATCCCGCGATACGAGCGGATCTCTACGAGCGCGTCCATCGATACCTTGCGAACGTTTTTAAACAATTCATGGGTCGCTCCACACGGTTGTCGTAGCATCGTCACGGAGACACCAAAATGGCACTGGCTCTGGAGACCCTTCGTGTACGTACAGAAATTTTTTTATTTATTTTATCCCAAATTATAGTTACATTTTGCCTACATGACATTAGGAATTAGTTACGGGGGAGAGTGGATAGGTTTAGGTCAGTATTCGATTAATTTGCAGTACTGATTAAAATAAAAGTAAACACGCTTTAAATCTGAAGAATTATAATTAGTACGGTCTCGCCATCGTTGTTACATCATGATTTCGGTTTATTATTCCGAAGGAATCTTTTAAAATATGATAGTTCTAGAACTACTTATTTGGCCCACACTTCCCTTACGAGTGGGAGGTTTGGGTCAGATAGTGAGAATAAATGGGTCTTTTAATGTTTGTATTGTTTCTCCAGTAAATATGGACAGATTTTATGTATGCATATATTTACTACCTAGAAAATTAGAACACACATGTATAGAAGTAATGAAACGAATAAATGTAATAATGACTCTGACTGAGAATGAATAATTCATTGTTGTTCCATATGTTGAAGGATCAGAGGAAGCATTAACTTACATACGTCCCGTCGCAATTGCACGAGCAGTTTACGCGAGTGTCGTTGCAGAAGAAAAAGAAATCACCGTCTGGGTTAGGTAATGGTAACCTTTGTTCGCCACCCGAATCTCTGTTTATGGTTCCTCAGTTTACTACCTCGCTGATCGTAAGCGTCACGAGTTATATCGCTGTTTATTTGCTAGGTTTATTTGTTGTCGGTCCACCGTATACGTGTGCCCCATTTGTCCACGATCAATCGTAAAGATTGAACCAGGACAAACACAGTCACGGAGAATGGATGTCGAAGGATTCGAGGATATCAAATCTAGTTATCAACGAAATCGGCGATTCTTCTTCGAACCGGATGAAACTCCTAAAACTTTTATTATACTCTCGAATAATCGCTTTAGCATGCATCGTTTGAAATATCGGGTTCACCGATAAGTAATCCACTATATCTAGTCCATCATCGATCCATTATCAAATACGAAGAGGGTAGAAAAAGCTTGTTCGTCTTCCAAGGCTTAAATCGTCGAAAAATCCCCACGAAATCCTTCTAATATCGATAAAATCAAAGGAACAGACCACAAAATGTATACTGAAAATCTACCGAGAATCCTGAATCGTCTTACTTATTCTTCGATCCAGACGAGGATCTCCGATAACACGGAACTCCAATAGCAAAGAATGGAATGGAATAAAATGGGGGGGGGGGGATACGCGAATCAAGGTGGAACAGTTGGACGGTAAAGAAACCGTGAGGAACGGTCGCAGAGAAGATTGATATGTATCACTTGTTGACTGGGACAGACGCGAGCCGGTGCGCATCATGATGGAAACCGTTCGACCGCGGACGAGAAGAGGAGACTAGGTACCGATGGGCGATATTTATCGACAACTGTATTGGAAAAGTCAGAATTTCGATACGCCAACTAGTGACAGAAAATCAAACTTCATGTTACGGAGGAACGCGTGCTTCGTTTATGAAAAAGGAGATCCTCATGGAGAATTGCGTTGGCCATAGGTTGAAAAACGAAAAAGTGGAATCGAGGTCTCTAATAAGAAAAAGGTGACAGAAGAAAGTGGTAGTGAATGGAAGCTGGACAAGTGTAAAAGCGAATTCGCGTTTATTCGCTTTCCTTTGCTTTATTGGATTCCAATATCGCGCGCTGGTTATTTCCTCACCTATAATTTCCATCGTTAGACCGGCACGCGGTTGACAATCGGGTCGACGAAGAGCTTCCACGTGCACTCCCTTTGCCACGTAATAATATATTTCCACGAGCTGCAATGGCCACATTTTGCAGCAGCAGCAGCAGCAGCAGCAGCAGCAGCAGCCGTGCTTTCATCAAGGACCAAACTCCTATGAAACCTTGAGTTTCGATCGATCCACACGTCGAACCGTCGTATCAGATTTTTCCCTTGCGAACGATCTCATTTCCTCGAATTTACTTGTTTGTAGAGGTGGAGCTTTCCTTCTATTAGCAGGCTATTGACGTTTCAGGTTCCGGGAATAGAATTTCAAAGATTTTCTTTGTTCTAGTGTTGGGTGGGGCTTATGTTTGCCTTTTTACTACTGTGATAATATCGTGGATAAAACAGAGGTTCGTTGTTATTAAAAATATATGTTATTGCGATAGATCCCTGTATAACAGGGTATTTGTAGGCCAGGGTTACTCGTAAAACACGATAATCGTAGAACACGGTAAACGCAGGATACCAAGAAGTCCGGTAACTCAGATTCCTATCTTCCCTGTAACAGGAGGGTCGAACCCGACGTATTATATACTCATTGTTTCGAAAACGTCATGGTGCAGGACAAAGTGTAATCTTATGGGTGAGCGACAGTAGAATTCGATCTTTCCAGAGTCAGGAGACGAAGACCGCCAGGGACTCGTTACGGGAGGACGGAACCCAACGTCGTTGTTCAAATGCTGGTTTAATTCCAATGGGGAATTAGCATACGTCGGGGGATGGCGGGAAAACGATCGTATATCCTCGGTTTACACCTTCACGCCACGGAAACTGTACGCGCTCACGCGCGCTAGGAACGTCGTCGTGGAATAACAACCGCGAAAGTTCCGCGGGCACGTCGGTCCAGCCGCGTTTATGGCTACTATAAATCTGACATATGCACGCTGCGACCCGGCCACCTTACCCCGGCGTCGACGATATTTCTGCCCTACCTTTAAAACTGCAGACTGAAAAGTACCGACGGTGGCGAATCGTCTCTGTCTCTCCCTCTCTCTTTCACAGTCAGGAATATCGTGGTATGTACCAGGCTGGGAAATATATCGTTATTGGACTGGAGACTGTGTGTGTGTGTGTGTGTGTGTGTGTGTGTGTGTGTGTGTGTGTGTGTGTGTGTGTGTGTGTGTGTGTGTGTGTGTGTGTGTGTGTGTGTGTGTGTGTGTGTGTGTGTGTCTATATTCGTTGTTATTCTTTTCTTGAATCGTTCAGGGATAGATGATAATGTATTATCTATGTCTATATGTACATAGTTGCGTCAGGTGGGATACGTGGATGTGATTGTACTGTGAGTGTTGCCGAGACAATGGTATAACCTGAAGGAGAGGAATTGCTCGTTATGTAATTCTACATTGTGGATGATAATTCTCTGATACGCTTGAATGATTTTGTTGTCGATACGTAAATAGTACTTCTTAGGGGCGTGGTCGGATAGACAGTGAGTATAGAATGTACACCGAATTCGCGTAAAGACAAAATTGGATGTATTATCCTCTCGACCAGTGGTTTTAGGAACTCCTGCATTTTCTCTCACTCCGTATAAACATCAATGTTCTATAGACATTCGTCCAACGCACACATTTTCAATCAACCCTATTATATCAATATTCCCTCGGTTGACCTCCAGTTCTGAATGATCCTCCTATATTGCTCTCGTCGTCCAATATCGATCCGTGAAACGGGAACATATGTATACGGACGAGAGGGAGATCGATCCAGCAAGAAAAAGGTCTCGAGAACGCACGAAAGAGAATCGCTGGGGCAACGGGACGGAGCCAATCGTTCGGCAAATTCCCTGGTTAATTACCCGTGACGATTCGTGCCTCTATGGATAATTAGGCTAGGCCAAGAACGTTCCCGCGACCACCTGTGCACATTCGCGGCCCCACAAACACCGACAAACATCTTCGCCGTTCTGTTTACCTGTACATGTTTATTTTCTGTGTTGCACCTGCAGTTCACGATGCGACACTTTGCGAGTATTTCGGTGATCATCCGGCTAGTCGATCGGGGGATTATTCACGTTAGACTGCGTGCCGTCCGAGTTCTCGAGGACACGATACATCGGGTGGTCAAGTTCACGGATTCGATTCGGGGACAGAGAGCTGTTTTTATCGGACAATTAGGGGTTGTTGCGTAGAAACAGGCGAATCGAGATGTTTTTTTCTTACGTAATCACGAATATACTCGTCATGCGAAAAAAGTAATTATCATTTTTTATTTAAATTACAATTTTCGTATAAGCTACAAGATAAACAGAATTGACAAAAAACATAACACGAACAATTTAATAATCCTCAAAGGCATACATGTCCGCAAAGTGTATTACATTACCCCGCACTATCGTCCCATCTGTAACGATAGTAAACGAGTACTTTCCGCACGATTTATTCGCGCGCGCAACGGACCCTCCTCTCTTCCACTCACGAACCAATAAACTCGCCCCCAAGAGGGACACAATCTCCCTCCCCAAGAAAGACTACTCCAACTATTTGCTAACTACTCGAAGGTACCTTCGGTCACTTGAGTAGTCCAGCTACAATGACCAACCCATTAAATCGCGGCTCGAATCATTTCAATTAATCCCAGAATACTTAGCTATCCTATCCCGAGAGATTGTTCCTTTGGGACCAGTAGTCGATCGAGAAAACCATCAGGATCCATACACCGTCTGACTCCGTTACGTACATATAGCGTAACCAAGTCGACGTTGGTCGCGTGTGAAACGATAATATCGATGAATCAAGTTTATACACGCGACCTGATTCGTCGCGAAACAATCACGAAATCGCGTAAATTGATGCGGGCAATTCGAAGAAGGTGATCGAAAAAGGAAATTCTCTTCGAAAATGGTAAGATCAACGTTCATCTCTGCGGGAGTTTCATTCTTTCGAAAGAATCGTGAAATATTTCCAGAGCTCGAGAGACCAATAATCTCGAATCGATGATTGAGGAGCTATCCGGAAAAGGCGGATCATAGGAGAAAATTGTGGACTGGGTGAATTGCGTCGCAAGGTTTAGCTGCTGCCCTACGAATTAACTGTACATGATTTACAGTTTTAAACCTAAGGTCTGTTCTATCTCTATTCTATTCAATCTGCATTATATCTCCATTTTATCTCTATTCCATCTGTATTCCATCTATATTCTGCCCCTATTATATCTCTATTCTATCATTATCCCACCTCTATTCCATCCCCATTCTATCTCTATACCATTAAAATCTATATTCCCGTCTCTGCTACGGGAAAGCCCCTAAATTATTCTCGATGGAAGAAATGAAATTCGGCGGAACCGCACGTGCACCGCTCGCCGATCGTGGCGACAACCTTGAACCGTGCCGCGCGAGCGAACGCGTTGGACGCGAGCCAATCAGCATCCCCGAGGGAAGAGAAATTTTCGGGCATGCCAAGTAAGGCTCGACCGGCCGAAATTTTTCGCTCGGATCCGGGGAATCTTTCCTCCTCGAGGGGGAAGGGGAACGCCGATGGGTCACGGAGGTGAGATAACAGGTGTCTGAGTGTACTCGAATTTTATTAATAGAATCGACCGAATTCCGAGGACAGAGATAACGACGCGACGTGCTTGTTACTGGATTCGAGTTTGCCGTTTAAACGAAATTCAGACGAAGGACATTTGCATAGAGTCAGGAAATCTTGAAGCATGCCGATCTTACATTCGATGGAGAAAATAGAACAGCTGTGTCTGAACATTGTACGACTTGAAATGTCAGGTGTGCCTATTTTTTATACACCCCTTTCCCATAGTATAATTCATAAGTATTAGGACACCTACTCGCCTCGTGGAAAAAGTCATGGTTGATCCAGATTGCGTAACATTTACCAGCGTTCCATTTAAATCTATCCCCTCGAATATCTCTGAAATTATCATTCTGACACCAGAAAGTGTTTCAAACAAAAGCCGAATTGTATTCGTATACTTTTCTGTATATGTTCATCGCCGAGAAATATTTCACGACAGCAGCGAGGGGGAACCAGAAACGCATCATTGGTCCTTGTTTTCACGTTGACAGAGAGAAAGCCAACGAGGATCCGGCGCGGTGTGGCGGGAAAATGAAAATACGAGCTGCGTAATGGGGTTATGAGAGGAAGGGAACCCCGAAAGTGGATGCCGAGTATTGATCTATGGTCTTTCCGGCGCACTCCACCAGTCACGCGGAGATCCCCAAGATGCTAGACGAGAGATGACGGGGGCGATCGGTGAAAAGGGGAATTTCAGCGAAGCGGTAAAATGTTGTAGACGATATTATGTACGGTGTACCAGAACGTCATTGTCTCGAAGATTGATACCGAAAACATTTATTATTAAAAGTCTATCTCATCAGGTTTTCATTTCCCAGTATCCGCAGTCTAGTCACAGTCGCATCTACCGATATTCACCACCGCGAACATATCCAGGCAACAGAAGACACCGACGTAGGCGAATAATTGCCTGGAAACAGGCGTACCGGTGCCACGCGGTAGGAAGGATTCCGCCGTGACATGTGGGGGTCCCTCGGATCAATGAAATTCGTTCAGAAACGAATAAAAGCACCGTGTGAGAGATATTCACTCGACCGTGTTCTCCCTTCTCGTACGCTCGCGTTCCCCCGAATACACCAGAGCGTTGTCGATTTCCGTCCGATTCGATCGATTAATAAAAACATTAATTGCTCTCGGAAATTTCGTTTCTCGCTCTCCTCCCTATTTGCCACTGATTCCGAGCGGTTCGCAACCGTAGACACAGCTACAGTGAATAGGTTTTTTAACACCCCACGTGAACGGTGAATTTCAAGGCATCGAAATTCATTTTACAGCTTCCAAGTAAATTATGTTGTAGAATTATAACTTTACAGAAAGATCTCTAGTGCATCGAGATGATAAGATAGTTCAGATTAAGGTCCTCTCTGGCCTGTCTGACCAAAGTCGAGCGTATCTACTAGCGATCTCACTCCGAGGGTAGAATCGAGGAGGAGGAGGAGGAGGAGGAGGAGGAGGAGGATTTTCTATGGAACGAAGGGACAGATACGAAACGAAGCCTGATCTATGTAATACCATATATGTATGTATGTATGTATGCGTATAGGTGTTTCTCGTGCCGTTCGTAATGTCAGACCGATTGCTTCAGTAGCATTTCAAACGGAAACGTCCGACAGGAATTCTCACCTTCAGAATCCTCGACGCAACACGTGTGATATACTTGTTATTCGATCGAGAAACGTTCACTCTTATCTCGCGTACAGGACCCCGTAATCACGCAATTTATAATCTTTTATTGTTTAAATCATCGACAGATGTTACTCACCGATATTTGGGTGCTGCAATTTCCTGCATATCCGGGCTTCACGTTCCAATTTCTGAAAGTCTGAAACAAGCAAAAGTGAGATTCCGTTAACTACCCAAGTCCTCGTAGACAGTACAAAGTATGAATTAATATTAGAAGACTAAGCGTTATTTCTCTCGAATCTGTATCATTCTATTCTATTTCTAAATCAAAACCAAATTGTATCCATCCGATCTTAAACTGGTACACAGTTCGTTAAAACGTTGTTCGATACAACCAATAGGTAACGAGTTACTTTGGACAGTAGGGTAATTCTTACCGACTCACCCCGTATATCCTGATATACCGTAGTAATCGATTCATGGGGAGGGTTTTATAAGATTTTTTTTCATCTACAAATACCCTAAAAGGCATATTTATCGACTTACACCGGCTGTATTCAAGGGTTCGAATCATAAATCGAGACGATTCAGGATGGCCAAAAGTATCCTCGCGAGCTTTATCGCGAAAGTTTCGCGGATAACGACAGCCAATGGGCCAGATGGGAAGGGAGAGAGGGAGTTAGGGGGGATATAATCATTACCGCGGAATCGAATTTCCCAACGAGGTCCCCTGACGAGTTTCCCCGTGGGTAATTCAGCCGAGGACCGCGATAAAATTGGATTTGTCGATGGCCGAGTAGTCGTTTCGAGGACGATTTCCTGTTCTCTGTCTATGTATACATATACCGAGTACCTTCGCGCGTGTGTGCCGTTCCTTCGAGAATCGGGGGAGAGAGAGAGAGAGATCGATAACCTCGGCCCACCAGTAATCCGTTCGTGGGGCTGTTCTCTCTAAGGATGATTCATTGAATTCGAACCGCCACTCGTTATGAGAACCCTACGCAACGCTAAATACGCTAAACAGTCCGTGGAATTAGGGTATGTGTTCGAATTACGGAGGCTTCAAGCCTGTTTCCGCAATCATAAATTAATTACAAAATACTGCTACACGAATTTCATATTCTGAGAATTAATATCCGTTGCTAAACAATTCCTTTTTTTATATGCGAGTACACGAAATTCGCTGCAGAATTAATCCTTTTGGATGAATATTTACGGTGTAACCTTGCACAGGTATACATATATGTATTGCGATGGCGTTCGTTGGTTGGACACCCGAGGCTCGTAGAATTACACTCTCGTTCCTGAGCATTAAGACCACTTATCGAATATTGCAGTAAGTGTTGCCACGGGAATTACGAAATTGTTGAAAATCGGAAATTAAATGTACGGGATATTAATACACCCTCCTATTCTGTGTTTATACGAACTCCTCGTACAGGACTTTAAGGTAACACGAATTAGTTATGCTTATGTTTCTATAGGCATCACCATAGAAGCAATCGACAAATAAGCGAAATGATATTCAAGTGTACCAGCGGACACTCATCGATCACCCTACGGTTCAACGATAATTAAATCCTTTCGGGGAACAACGTCGTCGAATAACCCAGTTTTCCTTTTTCTTTCTTTTTTCCCCCACTTTTTCGTCTAGTGGTCCGTCCTCCAATTTGCTCCTCCTCGTGCAGTTCCAGTGTTCTTCGTGGACCCTCGTCGGGTCGTGGGTGCTCGTTAATTCCGGTTATTTAACGTGACGGCGGCGGACAAGATCGTTGACTCGTGACGGAGATTTAATTATACACAGTGACAATTCGAAGAAATATTGTTGTTTGAATTTTATTTACATTGTATTTATATTCTTTCTTGTACTTTACAGTTGCAAATAGAATAATAGAAATTCCACTTTCTAATTTCAAAATATCATTTATTATAAGTAAACAAAATTTTATTTGCTTGAATGCATAATAATTAAAGACCAGAATTTTTGTTATCGTATCTACATTGTATTCTTTAAAAAAAACTTCCTAAATGTCAGTTTTTTTCGGGCCGCTAAAGGGGACAGGAGCCTTAATACGAAAAACTCAAGTGTCTAAATACCCCCCTGGTAATCGCTTGTCACGAAGTTTCGTTGAACGGCTCCGATCGGGTCGATGAAAGGCCGACCACACACCAGACTCTGAACTCGTCAAGTTCACGCGTGCCTGCGAACGGGGAGATGTAAAAAAAGAAGGAGAAGAAGGATCGACGAAGCCTCCGTTCCATCCAGGGGATGATACCATCGGAACACGTAGGGTGCGCACGATATTCTTATCACGCCCGAGAGATCAAGGGCTTGCAAATCGAACGACCTTCGTCCCTCGTCTCTCCAACCCCATCGCAAGCAAACCGCCACAGGGCTTTCTGCGTCCCCTGAAGCGACGAACAAATGGACGAACGATGGACGAAGAGAAAGAGAGAGGGAACGTTTTCCCACCGAGAAGTTCTTCGTGACATTCGTGCTTCGTCGGACGCGAAGTAACACGGCCTTGCCCACGGAAAAAGAACCGATCGCCTAATCGTGTGGACACAAAGCGCGCGCGAACATCGTGCAACGTTACACGCAACTGCGAACAAGGAAGATCGTATTTTTATCGCGTCGCGGGATCAAACACGCGTTCTCGATGGAAAAATTCTAACCAAGGACGACTTTTTCATTCGGATCATCCAGTCAATCGTGAACGTCACCGTGAAGTCGAACCCCCCATTTTTGGCCCTTTTTGGAACTACGAGCTAAGTTAGATTTTAGAACGCCTACAAGCACCAACAGTACCGAAAGGCTTAAGGAAGTACTCTGCAAGGTTACTGTCGTTTCCCACTTGTTACTCGAGTTACTTGGTTCAGGGACTGGGATAAAGCTAATTATGGTGTCAATGACAAAATCTGTCGAAGAAAAACATCCTCGATTGTCGGTCCGTCGCTACGAAGCAAATGTATAAACCGCAATTATCCCAACGGTTATTTCTTTCATTACTCTGCCTGGTTTTACACAACAAATGGTAGTGTCAATGATTGCAATTAAACTATGCGGCGTACCGGTACAAACGCCCAAAACAATCCACGAATCCACTTATTACAAAACAACCAGGCCATCCTCCGCATTTTACCAAAATACCCACCCCAATCGACATACAATATTCTCAAACTATCCTCCAATCTACATAACAAATCGAAAGAACCGGTAGCCCGTGGATCGACCCGGAAGAAACAGAGAGGGAGAGCATACGTATATCCCCCCGCTCGAAACGGCCTAATAATTCAAGAGCACCTCGGCATGTACATACACCGATAAAGTTCACCCAGTGAGAGGGGGGGTGGGGGATGGGGGGAGGGAGGGCGACGTAGGGTCTATCTTTGGCTTCGGTTTCTCCGCAGAGAGGCGAAAGGTAACGAGGGTAGGAAGAAGAGAAAAAGAAGGTTGAAACCGACCAGGGAAGACGAGCCTCTCTCCGTCCCCTCTCGACCTATCTTTCTCCGTTCCTCTCGCTGTGGCCAACGGAGAAGGTGGGGACACGCTCTCTGCAACCCTCTTCCACACTCGGCTACGACCTTGCTCCGGTAACCTCTTGACCCACCGAGCAGCAGCCGTGTACAATTTTTTGCACTCCAAATTCAACTTTTTGCAAATCAAATTTACACTTCTGCATGTATTCTCATTCTATTGTAATTTCCGAAATAAAAAGTAGCTTGTCAAAATTATGCGGCCTAGCGATCAACAATATAGTTGTCTTTGTGATAATTTGAGTTGAGGATTTATTTTTTATTATTGTAAGAAACGTCGGCTGAGGTTCGGAAAATGAACCGACGAGGCACTGTGTTTACGTTCGACGTTGCACAGAGCGGACGTGAAACGAACTATCGAACTCGTTTCCTTTATTAAAGAAAATATACAATATAATATTTGTGTGTTAATCTTTGTTAGTCCGTATATTGACATAAATACAATACAAAAAAAATAACGAAGGCAATATGACGATTTTGACGATTCGTGAGGTGAACTTGAACCCCCTTGCAAGAAATACGAAGAATTCCATTACTGTACAGAAAATCGTCGCACAATCGTAAAAACTGCAGTTACTCCGAAAATCACAAATATTATTTGTATGTCACAGGAATACATACTATATTTTTTTAATTAACCTTCTCCTACGTTACGGACCTCGTAAGCTCGGCAAGGAAAATATCGCTAGGGGGATGAGAGTGGATTCGTTAAAATGTCAAAGAATGCGTCGATAGAACTTTGACCTTTCGACGGAGTATTCACGGAAAATTCACCTGCACCCGTGCGACTAAAACGACGCGTCTAATAATTCACCGGCCGCCATCTTGTCGCCATACATATTCCACGGCTCACGTGTCGCGAAACGGTCATATTTATGCGTTTAACGAGCAACGCCCGTTACCGACACGCCACAAAAAAAAAAAAAAAAAATAGAGAATAGTATCTAGAACACAAGGAATTCTTGGAAAAAATGATCCCCGTATTGCGAGAAAAATTCTTGGAAAATTATAATAGCGGATAAGCAACAACACTGCGTCCCTATTGGCAAACAGAGAAGTGAATTTGATAGAGGAAAGGAAAACGTGCCAGCGTTCCCAGACTCTACACACTTGGGTACTCTCTGAATTCTCCCGGCTGCGAATCAGAATTTCAAATGGCCGACGAAACTACGGGGCTGAGTGCTCGATTAATTATTCGTCGAGCCGGAAGCCACGAGGACCGATGCTCCTTTCTTATATGCTGCACGAACTGACCGTTCGAGCACTTTCGTACGAGTCGAACACGTTTATTCTGTCTTCTCGTTTACAAAAGAGAATCGGATGTTTCGAGCGAAAGAATATCTACAATAGCGGAGAAAAAAATTAGATAGCTCGCTGCTGCTTCAGTATATTTCTATTATTTTAATGGTATATTAAAATGGTAATTAGTACCATTCAGTTGAACGTAAGGTAATTGTATATGTATCTGGGCAAGTGAAATTGAATTAACCACTGGAAGAAATATCCCTGAAACGGCAGTGACTCTCGATTTCCACGAAAATAAATCTATAATTCAACAAAAGACGTTGGATTGTACCTATTGCTACACCTAATACCAAACATCCAGGTTGACGAGACTCGTCTACTATCCATTATTCCTCACAATTCTTGGATTCAGGACGAACGCAATCCTCCCCTAACTGAACCACTCCTGTCAACCATTCCACGTACAAAACGACATTGTCCCCGCCGAAATAAAAATGGATATCACCGTTGCTCTTTTTTTACTTCTTCGGTCTTTCACCCTCTTTACCCTCTTCGCACCCATCGCATTCTGCTCGCGACCCTCGAAAATTCCGCTCGACGCCCGAATTCCACGGATCTCGATCGTACGTGAACAGCTTTTCTCTCGGTTTTCACGTGTCGAGCACGTCGACGGTGAACTTACGTCAACGCGCGCGTCCCCGATCTCCCTAGGCTGTATCTGTTGCAAAGACCACGACTCGCAATGGTGCATGACTTTTTTTTTTTTTTTTTTTCAAATCGGTCTACAGTCTACAGATCGTAATTTATGATTTTCAATTTCATTGCTCATTTGTTTGTATTTAGGACGAGATATATTGTGAATACAATTCAAAGATATCGAAAATTGCATTGGCAAAGTGAAAGAAAAGTCTATTTCGAAGGACAGGAATCGATCCCAGGACCTTCGATTTACCAGCCAAATAACCAGAAACTTCGATATGTTCCACTTATACATATACACGGTACATCTTGAAGGTACACGTAACTTTAATTATTTATATCTTTAACAATTATCGAGTGTCGTAGATACACCTAACACAGGGTGATACAAAAAAGGGTGCATAACTTCTAGGGGTAGATTTGTAAAATGACTGGAGTACCTCTGTTATTACAATATACATATGTATACATACCATTACATCATTAAAATCAAAGTCGGACACTTCGAGGTCCTTCCTTTGTTAATAATCCTGGCTGATTCAGAGAGGAGGTTTCTCTCCGTATATTTAGAGTTCGCCGAAGCATCCGCGCGAGACGGCTGAGATGAGTCACGCGCATTAGGACCGGTGCCAAGGGAATCGATTGATAGCGGCGATAAAACTACCCGGTCCTGATACTGGCCTCATGACAGATCAGGCTGATACTAAATTTATCGACGACGACGACGACGACGACGACGACGACGACGACGACGACGACGGTGCATTCAACCCTTTTCCTGGTTAGCACGCGACAAATTGATTTTGATCGAGCATGTCTCGGCAAACAAGGAAACATCCCTAGAGCGAAAATTTTATTTTTCGCTCGAACTGGCATGAATTTGTAGAGAATTAAAAACTACCGAATGCGTGTTTTAATACCATACGATTTTTTAAGAACCCTGTAATTCATACGAGATATGAACAGTGGATTGATCGTATTGTGTATACAATAATACGAATCAAAGTGAATCGTGGTGGACAACACACCGATGAAGTTCTGCGCAAACTGTACGCAACTGTAAGGGTAGGTATAAACATGAATGATGATCGGCCATTAATTTCCCAGTCGACCTAATGCTATTCTTGATAATTGAAATGGATGATGGCCTGTCAACGACGGATATCATCGTCGAGGGTATACAATCTACCGTTTATGTATACCGTCTGTCATAAAACATCATGTACGATGCGACGTAATTGTTATTATTATTATCCCGATCACGTGTCTATTATATGCAGTATACATATGTATAGGACAATATAGGTATATACGAAATGGAGATTAACCCTCGTGCGCTGTTAAGGTAAATTTCACCCGTATCCAATGTTTCATTCTTAATTACACTTTTTACATGCACTAAAATTCAACGTTAATTTAGGCTCAATTTAATTCAAAGAAGATTAACCCTTAGTCATGTGTAGACTGTAGATTTTATGCACTTATAGCGTCCTCTGACCTGCAAAACGTAGAAAACTAAAAATTTTAGTCAAATTCAATAATATTTCCGTATTACTATTAACATTTTGAACACCTACCATAGGAAATAAAATTCCATTCAATTTTCTTTTTTATACAACCATGTGTTTAACTATTTATCGAGAGACCACGGTAAAAAAAAAAAACTAGAACATATACGGTTAATTAAACCTCGTAATTACGAGTTCCTCGTCCGTAATTTACGATCGCTTAAATTCTCATTAGACCGTCGAATACGTTCTCGACGATCAACCAAAGGAAATCCTCATCGTTCGAGATGAGTTCTACCCACCTCACGAATCTTCCACGCGCGACCCAAGGAAACCTACCTCTATCCCAGCGTTCTGTCGGTTCCCACGCCATTTCTCTTAACCCCAAGAAATCGCGAGAAATCAAGATATATTAAGACATTTCTCACACGGACCGAGAGACCAGAGTTTCTATTATTTTTTCTCTCTTTCTCTCTGTCTGTCTGGTCCCCAACAGACGGAGAAATAGTTTCGCGACATGAGAGAAAGAGAGAAAGAGAGAAAGAGAGAAAGAGAGAAAGAGAGAAAAAGAAACGATGTATCGAGGAAATTCCTGGCGTAAAGAGCAACACGTCAACAATAAATCTAAGTTTAGACACGAAGAAAGAGGGGTTCAAAGAAGATCCTTTTTCGGTGATAGTCAGCGACAAGCTCGTGGCCACGTGTCTTCCCTGTTTTTCCCGTCGATCGATGCGGCAAAATTGGTGTGGTCTTGTTTCACTGAACGCTACGAGAGAAACTTGTACGACAATGCATTTGCTGCAATAATGAGAACCGAAAAAACACGATTTTAGGGAAAACCGAGATGGAATGTTCTCATCGCTCTAACTTTGTACGAATATGATGATATTTAAAGTGATTGTCCTGATGTCGTACATTCTAGAAGCTAACCTACAAAATTCGGACTGGCTTTTTCTAACTCGGCTCCGTTATCGCCAAGGGTGAACCGTGCCCTCGGGACCGATGTTCGTACAGCACCGAGTAACTGTTGGTCGCGATGGAATGTTGGCAGGTTGACAACGGCGTTGCTCGTTGTTTTTAGACGCCCAAGCCCGTGTGGTGTATAGAGGCCGGCTCTTTCCGCGATTCTGTGTCCAATTGCGAGAAATGGGGGGAACAATGCCTCGCGACAGAAATAATTAGGAAGTGGTCAACGGTGGAAGCTGTAATACACGGGCGAGTAACAAGAACCGTTATTTCCGGTGGCACTTCGCTACAATGAGAAATCACCGTTTATGAATTTCCTCGAATTTCTTTATCGAACATAACCAAAACGGTCCGTGAACACAACTGGAAAGGTTCAGAAATACCTGATTAATTCCTCTATTAACATCGCGAAGAAAGACTCTTGTTGTCGAAACCATGAATCACGATCTCTGCCTCAACGGATGGAACTATCAAGAACGAAATTATAAAGTTATTCGGTTGTCTAAAGCGTTACCACGGCTCATTACCGTCGTGCATTAATGAAATATTCAGTGGAATAGTCGATGAAAGCGCGGCCAAGAGTTCCGCATCACGGATCCTTGCGTGACGCTTTCAAAGACCCCCTTTTCTTTTCGCAACGATGCAACCCCATCGGGCCTTGCATAATGTCGCTTACCTGATGCCTGAACGAGTGTTTTACATGGTAATCTACTTTTTCCTTCGGTTATGGTTAAAAGGTTCGAGAAGGTATTTTTACGTTAACCTCGAAAGGCTCGATTATTTACCATCTTTACCGGTTACCAGTGACATTCGAAGAAACAATCGAGCTTACCTCTGGGCGTGAGCTTTTTGGTGTTTATGATTTTCGCCGCGAACTCGTGACCAGTGCTCTTCTGAACGCATCGTCGCACCACAGAAAAGGCACCTCTGAAACAATCCAAAACGAAATTTCGTTTATATATAAATATATTATTACTATTATCATTATTATTATTATTATAAACGGTTCGTCGATACACAAATGTCAACATTTCTCCAAATTTAAGGCAATATAATTCAACGTTGAAATAGTCGACGAGACATTCGGGTGACGTTAAATGGTCCGGCTGATTCGTTAATTGATCCTGTAGCTTCGTGGCTCCTGCACGAAACTTCGCGATGTATATATTTGGTCTCTTAAACGGTGCCGCGACTCCGGCCATTCGTGAGGGACGGTAGGAGGCAAACTTTCTCGATTACCCTGGCACCGATGTAGCCACCTGCAACCGGGAAACCGAGGTAACATTGAAAGTTCGTCAACGGGGGGCGTCGATCATGCGATTGCATCCTCGAGAGCGGATTGGCCGGTCGGAGGAACATCGAAGTTTTAGGGTCCTCTCTACCACAACTGGGTCACGGAAAAATGTCGTCGACGGGAACTGTTTGAAATTCGAGGGAATTGCTGTTAAATGGAGATAATAACGATATCGTTATTAGAACGATGAGATACTAGAGCCTTTATGAAATGTAGGGTACATACGTTATATAGTATACTACGAGTGTGTATGCACGCATATACAATTATCCTACTACTGTGGCACAGCTCCTTCTTGCACCTGACCCCTCAACTGCATCGTGTGCCCTCTCTATCCCACCAAACCCAAAGACAATTCATTCGAGACTAGCATCCAAAGGATTACTACACACTCCGTAGTGGAGTGATCAAGATACCCCTCCAGCTATAAACCCTGTTCGAGACATCATCCATCATGCACCGAAGAAACAAACCTTCGGAGGAAACAGTGGTGCCTAGGTAGGACGAAAGGTCAAGCCATAAAGGTGGACGAGAACGCGCTGCGGATGGCTCGTTCGCTCCCTCGTATCCTGAAGTAGTTCAAGGCAGGCCGCATCGGCGCAAACGCAACTTTAATGTTTCATCCTGCGGGCGTCGGGCGTCGTTGCAAGCTGCAGTAAAAGGGGGAGAGAGAGAGAGAGAGAGAGAGAGAGAGAGAGAGAGAGAGAGAGACACCAGCAACGACGACGACGCGGCTCCTGCGCGCGAGTAAAAAGGGCGAGGCGGACGGACACGCTAGCCCCGATCTCCATGGAGACCAATCATTACCGGAGATTGCACGGCGACCTGGCCCACGATTCACCGGAACATTCCCCACCCACCCCCGCGTCGACGTGCGTTTCTCTTTCGGGGCTGCGGTGTCGCGATACGTGGCCGTTGCCTCGATAGATGTCTAGACTAGGACTGCAAGTATTCGGATATTCGAATTCATCGAATAATTCGAGTAATTTCGAATACGAATATTACGCATAGTACGAAGTATTCGATTATTTCATTAGTACGGAGTATTCGACTATTTGAATATTCGAATAGTATGAAGTATTCGTATTATTTGAATATTCGAATAACAGAAGTGATCTAGTTTAGGATTGTATCAAATAGGAATTTGAAAAATAAATAACTGTAAAGGCCAATATGAAAAGAATTTCGCTGAGATCCTATGATCTTCAAGACTGCGGAATTACCTCGTTAATTGTTTCTCCAACTACTTCCACCTATTATCCTGCTACGGTCAATTCGATAGACCCTTTCTATAGAATCTTAGAAGGGGCTACCAAATCAGGATGATACAGTATTATCTCGTTCAACTAAAACGTCAAACACACACACACACACACACATGCGTCCAGTATGTTTTACAGCAGCATTTAACGGCGCTTGGCGAACGATCTAGTCGGCTCCGATCATTTGGCATACTATCCACCCGGTTCGGTTTACTGAGACGATCTACTGCGACGTGGATTTACGTGCCAGTAGTTACCTTCTGCATCAGCTCGCGCAATTCAGAAAACGACCGAATGAAACGCGGTCCCACGTGAAACCAAGATACCCGGGCAACGCTAGTGACGGAAAATTGGAACTCGGAATCGATCAGGAAAAGGAGACGGATAAGGTATCTCTTATTTGGGGGGGGGGGGTCCGACCTGGGAACGGATCTAGACAAAGATTTCGCGAAATATTCCATTATAGTCCCGCGAAATTAGATTGAGGAGGGCAGCGGGGATATTAGAATCGTCGCGGTAGATTCTGAGAAAATTGAAATACGCTGATGGCGTACGAAGTAAAGAGGAAAACGAAATTTCCGGATCTAAAGATAGAGTCGGGAGATTTTACCGAGGTGCGTTTTATCGCGATAGATGCCGCGCATTCAATCTCGTCCCTTATTCACTGGTTTAAGTACGACCGATAAGAAATGGATCATCGTCCGATAGAGTTCTCAACTAAGAACAATTATCCTCTATGATCGGCCCAATACTCCCAGATGACACCTGTCCCAGCATGCCATCCAACTAGCACAAAAGCAGGAAAGTGGATCAAGAGGAGCGAAACTGGGGGGGGGTTGGAAAAGTAGCTGGATGGAAGGTGGCCACCGACGCAGAAACGTTGGTCGAGCGACAGTGTCGGCCTTGAATCGAGCCACTCGGCCGACGACGCGCAACTAGGGCGTGCAAGAGCGACACGGGATGCGCCTTCAAAGCCTTCCTAGCCTCTCTCTCTCTCTCTCTCTGGGACGCCGGGTTGCGACGATGCTGCTGCGCCTTTGCAGCCGCGCGTCGTGGACAACGTCGGATATATATACGTTCATAGTGTGTGTGTGTGTGGATATATATATACACAAATGCCTACATGTACCTTTAAATACACGTCTATGCTTTGGTGCACCGTCCCCGCGCAGACGATCGTAAGAGGTAGCGCGGTTCCGCGCGCGTTCTGCACACCGTGAAGAGGACGAGAAGCCGGCCGGCTATAAAAGTGTGTGTGCCTCTCTCTCTCCTCCCAACCACGACCCGTTTTTATCGTTGATCGATCCTCCACCGCCGGTTCGCGAATGGGAATCGCCTGGCGTTGGCGAATCGCTCTCCCGGTTTATGCATTTCTGTTTTATGAACCCGGAGGATCCTTGAATCCGCAGCTGAATACACGTACGGAAGAAGCCCCCGGCGGGCAGCAACACGCTCGTAAGAGACCCCCGCCCGTTTATTTGCAAAATTGACGGTTCTCTGCTAGATCTCAATTTGTTTGCCTCTGCGTCGAGCCCCCCTCTTTACACCTCTGCACGGCTGCTAGGCGAGCGTCTCTGGGAACTTAATCGACGAACGATTGCTTATCCATTCCCTTATTCGCCTATCATCCACGATCCCCGATCGAGGAATTTCAGGATACACCAAGTAGAAACATCATATTCCATATGGTGATCTCCAGAGTAAAAAGCCTGGAACGTACCGTGGACTTGGCACAGGTGCTAGTTTTCTCGTGAACGCGATATTCCGACTTGTTAGCTGTCTTTACAATAACCGCGTCGGTTTGCGCGCGCATCTCCCGCAAAATCCTAACCCGCGGGTGTATAGCTATGTCGGATCGTCGTCACGTGGTGCATCGTAAAACATGTTCCCTGCACTTTGCATAGTTACCCACTCGGCCTACTTCCCCACCAACTACCGATCGCCAACCATCGCCGCGTGCATGCGTACACGCCATCAGGTTACACACGATACGCTAAGTGTTACTCTTATCGGGAACCCGTTGTTCCATCGGAACCATGGAGAGCGAAACAGCGATCGTTACCCTCGGAATACTCGGGAAATTCCGTTCGAGAATCGCTATTTCGAGCTGTCTGAAAGCAGGATACTTCGATATGGTAATGGAGGTATCAATTAAGGAAATTACATTCTGGCTCAGGTGGAAGGATCTTGTATATGGTGACTAGATTTATAATCGATGTTTTCAAAAATCGATAATTCTAAGCGATTTCCAATTTTTGAGCCCACCACTGTTCGAACGTACAGCGAGAAACTTAGTCCTTTTCAACCGCATACGAGTATTCCAATCATGGGGTCACACAGGTGCAAACGCGATTTTCCGTGTTCACCACTAGGCGACCTCAGGAAACCTCCAGGAAAGGGCATGTAACTGGCCTCTAATGTTATGTCGTGTTCTAGGTGAGTCCAATGAGGGGGGGGGGGGTATCCAGCCAGTCTAACGATCGGCAAGTTCTTGTTCTTCTTACGGAACGAAGGAATTACTTCGTAAGGGATGATGAAGGTGGGGGTAAATCCGTCGGTTTCTTCCGCAGCGACTCGCAAGATGATTTCCCTAGAGTCGGCTGGTTCCGGTTCTCCCTGGACAGCCCGTTACCCCGTTACAATCCTGTTCGTTTACTGGAGGAGGGAAAAAGCTGAAATTCGGTTAATGTCGAGCCGACTCTTCTTACATTTTCCATCGAAACGCTAATTGCATCCGAGCGCGTCGGAAAGGAAAGTGGAACTGCACGTGGATTTCCGAAGAAACTTCGGTTATGAATGTAGCATCGTGAACGTGGATAGTTAATGCATTATCAATTGAAGTTACACTCACGCGAAACCGGAAACTTTTTGGAAGTAACATTTCGGATTTTGTTGACGCTAGGATATGTTATACTCTTTAGTGATATAGAACGTATTTCGTAGAATTTTTGGAAATTTAAAATTTGTTAATTTTACAACTGTTTGAAATATAGTTTGAATTATTTCAGTTTAAGAAAATATTTTTTAACCAATTGTTTTGCAATTGTTTTAAAGAAATAAAATGTTGCAATAGCGAGGCACTATTTAAAAATGAAACAAAAGTATTCTATAACTTGGAAAATTTTGATTATAACATTTTACGGTCTCTGGTTCCATCGGAAGACTTCAATCCACCAAGATTCAATCCTTTTACGAAATTTCTTCCACACACACACACACACACACACACACACACGGTATCGAATCACCCTGTTACAGCGTTTCAAGAAGAAACCGAGGGATTCATATCGTCGTGTAACATTCCAATTCTCGAGCTAAGCCGTTCCTCCTCCAGCCGCATGTCTTCAAGAGGATCGACGACAGATCGTCAT